CTTTTAACATGTCAAACTCTGGAGATTTGTTCATGAGCGTGCAGTCTCTCAATGGGGATTCTTACCAAGGGGCCCAGGTTGGAGCCAACGTGCAGTCACAGGTAGGGACCCATCCGATGTACTGCCAGTGAATGCATTAGTGTTGGAGGAGCCTTTGATTGTATTGGCACTTCTCCCTCCCGTCCGAAAAGAGCAAATCTCAACCAGCACAAATGAACCAACCAACACTTAAAAAAAGGCAAAGCAAACCAAAAAAGCAACCAACTAAACAAAAAAAGCAACAGCAACAACCACCAAAAAATCGATCAAAAAGAAACCAAAACCAGACACCCCGATAAACCATGGTCTTGAGGAAACTTGCCCAAACTTTGTGAATGCATTTGGCTCTGGCTTGATAGTCGTACTAGGAGGAGAGGAGGTTTAGGAGAACAGGCACGTACTTAAAGCAGCTGAGGTTTCGGTTCTGCTTGCTTTATTCTTCCAAGGGAAGGGGCCAGATGTTTGGACTGGTGTCTCATTTTACAAGGCTTCCACTCATTCCTTTGATGCCAAACCAGGTGTCTGCTGAAAGGCAAGAAGTGCTGAAATATACAACAGCTAGGTTTTTTTTTTTTTTTTTAATTAAAAGTCTCCCCCTCATCATCTCCCCGTCTCCCTAAAGCTCAGGCACTCACACCACCCGTTTACAGACCAGCAAGACAGAGCAAGGGAACTTTGGGCACTGTTACTGAAATGTGCTTTTTGCTTTGAGCAAAAATAAAGAATTTAAAAAAAAACAGTAACTCACTGTGATCTCCCACGTCCCATCTGATGTCCAGATATGCCACGAGTCTGCTCTCTGGCATCTAAGCCTCTGTATCGTGTTGAGAGATGACAGCCACTCTGACACCTTCGTGTTAGGCAAAGAGCTTGCTAAAGCCAAGGTCGCTCCCCTCACAAAGCTGGACCAGAGAAAGCGTGCTATGCGTGGGTGATGGGCTGTGCTTGCCACGCGTACCACTGGTGGGGCTGGGATGGGGTAGTAAAGGGCGAGGAAGGGGGCACACAGAGGAGAGATGGCAATCCGTTTGTGGTGGTAGGTATATTCCCTCTCTGGGCCCTCCAAAACGAAGGGAGGAGCCACACTTACCTGACTCCGAGGATCTCCTTCCACTGACGTGAGCTCCTGGCACTCGGGGCCAAAGGGTGGCAAGGGATAGGGGTAGCAAAATGGCTCCTCAGGTGCAACCGTGAGCCAGCCGCAGTGACATGCTCCGCAAGTCCGACCCCCACACTTGCCACACTGTTTTCCCTCTTTGCTGTTCCTGTCACGAGACTTGGGACCAAGAACAGAGCGTGGCCAGGCCACCGGGGCAGGCTGGCGGGAGGCGAGGGAGGCAGGAACAGTCCTCGACCTTGGATCTCACCCTGAGACCAATCGTGGTCCCTTTTTTTCCTTCTTTAAATGTGTACCTTTGTTACTATTACTATTTGTTTGTTTGTTTTTATCGTGCCAAAGATGAACAGAAGCGGCTTTGCCCACTAACCTTTCATTCACTCTAATTTGTGTCTTTGTTGTTGTTGGTTTGTTTAGGTGGATACCCTTCGCCATGTTATCAGCCAGACAGGAGGATACAGTGACGGACTCGCAGCAAGTCAGATGTATAGTCCGCAGGGCATCAGTGTAAGAAAAAAAAAATAGGCTTGGGTTCTTGTTTTATTTTTTTCCCCCCTTCCATTTTTATTCTCTCACTACCAATTATTTCAAAGCCATAGGGCTCAGAATGCCACTTAGTAGGACTTGTCTTTGCTTTTACGGTCACCTAGTTTATTGCTTCTGTATCGGTCACGCCAACGGCAGAGTTTTGCCCACAAAAAAAGTGGCGACTGGGCAGGCTTTGTGCAGGCAGCTGGCGTCTAGGCTTGTCAGAGCAGATCAGTGTTCGCACGGCACCTGCGGCCACATGCGTTCAGCTGAGAGGAACTGCTAAACAGGTGACACCTAGTGTAACGGCGGTGGGGAATGTCACCATGAACGTCCAGGCCTCGAAATCTCTCCGCAAGGAGGCCAACGGTGGCATCCGGAGCGGCCATCTAAAAATAACTATCTGCAGCCAGCAGCCAAAGCTGGACCAGGGAAGAGAGAGGGCGTTGAAAACACGGTGACGATGGGGTTGATCGTAGTGACGGTCACAAATAAAGCACAAAAGAAAACGCAACCCAAGGAAACCTCACCCAACAGGAATGGGAGAGGATGGGAGGGGGAGGGAGGGCTTCAAAACATCTTCTACTTGTTCCTGGGTGCGCTGGCGGGTTCTGACTAGCATGAAAATTCATAGCGACAAGCTGTGTCGTACAGGGCAAAATCGATCAGACACACACAAGGAGAACCGAGTGTAGATTCGGGACAGCAATCCAACTTCATTTCTCAGATCAATCGTCCGCCATCTCAGCGGCGGTGACAGCAAGCTGGGAGAAGGGGGCAGCCTGGAAAAGGAGGCTGTGCTTGCAGAGTGGGTTTTGCTGTTACTGTCTGGGGTGGCGAAGGGAGGAGGGGGTGCTTGGCCACGAACGTGGCTTTCCGTCCGTCGCTGTTGTCACTGCGGCCCCTTTTGAGCGGTGAGGAGGATAAAGGCTGAGGTGGGATTATCTTGGGACGGGCAGGAAGGTGGCATTTGTTTTGTTTTGTTGCATACGTGGCTCACAGGAAGGGCTGGAAGAGGAGTCTTGTTGGTGAGAGGGGGGCAGAGCTCAGGTCACCCCCCCAGCAGCACCATGGGCGTCTTCTCCAAGCGATCCACCTCCAGAAGTGCAGTGGAGGGACGTCTGGGGAGCTCCCGGCTCTGCCAGCCAGCATCTGTGACTTCTTGTCAATTTGAAATGAAGGCACTGAGAAGGAGACGTGATACAAGAGGAAGCACTGATAGAGCTTCCTCACACCCTCCAGCCCTTTTCTCCCTCTGTCTTTTACTCAGGGAAGGGAGAACATGGCTTCGGCCGCCAACTGTAGGTTCACCCAGGTGGGACGGCAGCCCTGTGTCAGGGCAGCCCAGTGGGAACGCTGACCTGACACATCTCTCTTTGAGTGCCCTCACCCTTCTGGCCAAGGAGGCCACCTGGGCTTTGCCGCGAGCAGCACCTTGTGTGTGAAAGCCCTCAGGCCATTGGTGTGGCAGAGGCCACCACCACCAGGGTGGGGAGAGCCCCGTCATGCAAGGAAGGTGGGAGAGGCGGCCGGTGGGGTCGGGTGCTTTCCTCCGCTCTCGCTTGGGTGCGCGGAGACGGAGCGGGCACTGGGGCTTAGCAGGAAGCTTGACGTCATGAAGCCGAGCCAGGGAGGATTTGTGAAGTAATGTAATTGAACATGTGCAGATAATTATGTCTCATTACATAAGCCCGTTGCAAAAGCGGTGCTTGAAAATGCCACATGAAAGAGCCTATCGTTCCGCATTAATTTCTCTGTGCGCTGAATTTATTCCCTTTCTGGCTTTTTAATACTTGAAGAGTAAATGAATCGGTGGCTGATCATGATAAGAGATGATACTTTTGTATAAATTAAAATACCCCCAAGGAAAGAGGCTGAGCTGATTATGGTTGCAGTTGGCTTGGAAAATAACAGTGATCTGGGTTAAGCCAAAATTTGGGGGGAGGGTTATTGCTGGGGATTACAAAGTAGGGAGGGGGACAACAGGAGAGAGGAGAAGAAAGAGATAGTGTAAACTCGAAAGCCAAATAAGATAAGAGCAACTGGTCTGGTATCTCCGACTGTCAGCGATGGTGGTAATGGGAGAGCCCGCATTGCCGGGGACAGCACTGGGAACTGGTAAGCTGGCCGAGGCTCTGTGGTGCGCTCTGCGCTTCCCAGCTGGGGATCTGGGATGTCTGGGATTTGATGGCTGCTTGGGTTGATTTTCTAGGACAGCAGAAGCCCAAATTGGCCCAAAGGGGCCAGGCGTGGGAACGCTCTTCAGAGAGGGGCAGGGTGGCAAGTGGACAAAACGATCGCCCAGGTTTTGGGGAATGAGTCCTTGGTTCCAGGTAGAGCATTTCCCCATAGAAAGATGCTGTAACTCTGGCAGGCCCCCAGAGCAGGGCAGGGAGTAGGGAAGTTTGTTTAGAGCTGAGCAGGAGGTTTAGGAAGCATCTTCTGGGTTGTGTCTCTCTCTATGAATGTTTTGCTTCCCTCATATCCCTGGCAGCATGTTCCTCTCTGTGGCTTTTATTGTCACTTAATGTCTTTCCAGCTAGATCCCGAAGTGCTTGATAAACTACAGCTGTGTGGTTTGTCCACCCTTGAACTGTGGCTACCCTCTGGGGAAGCGTTCTTCCTCGGCAAAGTCCAGGCAACTACTTTATCCAGGCACGGGGAAGAAGAGCACTGTATCCTCGCTGGAGGTGCAGGCAGGTTTTTCCTGTCTCTCCCCTAAACCTTTTAATGCTGAGGAAGGGCAGCAGGTTGCAGGAGAAAGCTGCTAGTTATACAGAAAACTGCGCATCCCCTGCAGAACTCGAGTATCCCTGCAAGCCGTTGGAAGGAGATGAACCGAAACCTAGTCAAGAGCCCTGTCACAAAGATCTCTGCATAGGGCTGAGGTTAAGTCATCCCCAGAGCCCATCAGGTCTAGGAAGTCAGAAACAGGTTCCCCAGCTCCACCGTTACAGCCCTTGGCAAGGGAGACAACACACAGAGTTTGCGCTCCTTGATGGAGGATGAATTTTTAAATGTGTGTAAATCATGACAACCGAGGACAAAAATATAGCCCAAGCCCAGTTTCCTCTGTGGCTCTTCTGCAAATGTGTCTGCTCGTTGCAGCTGCTCGACGGCTGACAGAACGCCCCGCGCTGCTCCCGTCAGCTCCGCGGGGCTAAAAGGGCTGGAGTCAGTTCTGCATCGTTACCAGAATAATCAGCTACGTCCCAAGCAGCACATCCCTGTGACCTGCAGTGATGTCTGAGGCAGAGAGAAAACAGCTGGCTTCTCATATCCCAGCTGGAGATACGTCGGGAAGCACGCTTCCCAGCAAGGAGAGAGGGCTGTCTGCAGCCTCGCACGTCCATTTGAGGAGCAGTGGAGGGGCAACTGCGACCCGAGTCTGCATGCAGGTTCCCCGCCTGCCTTGGATGGCCCTGCGAGGAAGGGGGGACCCCCTGCCTGAAAGGAGCTGCTCTTTTGGGCCTGACCCAGCAGTTCTTGCAAGCTTTGAGGTTGGGTTTTTTGCACAGTGAAGCTTCAGGTGTCTGGTCCACCTGGATGGCGCCTTTTCGTGTGGGTCTGCATGTATACCCACTCTTGGGTCCTCAAGGCTGGGATTTTCAAAGGATTTAGAAGTCCAGATTCTGGTGACTTCCAGTAAAGTCGGACCCTTTATTTCCAATCATCTGCTGGAGGGCCCCAGCACAAAGCACTGCCCTTCCTGCGCCGCTCTGCAAGCTTAAATTCACAAAGTGTTTTAGGTTCCTAAATCCCTGCTAAACCCATCTGGGGACAAGTGCCAACCACTGAGTGAATCTCAGTGCTTCCTTGCTGGTACAGCGGGGAGATCTGTGTAGGACGGGGCTCCCCCGATGTAACAACACGCCTATGCAAAGTACAGGTGGACAAAGTACAATTGCTCTGGTGGATTTGCGTACGAACACACATGTAATTCAGAATGAGGTTGCTACTAATGCATAGATCAGCCAGCTAATTAACTAATGAGTTATAATCATCTTAACGAAAACCTTTTCAGAGATTTCTTTTTTTGAGTCCCGGCTCCCCCTCTCTTTCTCTCCCTTGTCCCTCCCATCGCTAACCCTCTAGCAGAGAAGATTGGACAGGCCAATTTATAGATCGTTTAAAAGCCTAGTACAGGAGGCTATTTTTGAAGTTCATCAGTGTGCAAATTTTTGATTTATAAATGCTATTCTGCGTTGCTGTGTGTATTTACACAGCAGTATTTGTCATTAAGATGTTGGTAGTCAGTAGCAGGGTGTGCGATTGATTTTTGCATCTGCTCCTGTCAGCTGAAAGCAGGGATCATCACAGTGCACTTCAGTGGCTGCGATACCTGTAGGACGCTTGCTGTGAGCACCCTTTCTCCAAGAACTTGTGCCTTGCAAAGAAAGCATCTGTAGCTCTGCCCCTCTGCAAGCTACGATTCACAACTGAAAGCTGATCCAACAGGGGTATTTGGTCCCCGAGCTCGTCCGTCGCATATTTGATGGCTTGTGGGAGATGCCTTTGCTTATCCTGAAGACTGCAGGAAAAGAGCTGCTGTCATAAGTCTTGGAAAGTGACTTTGGATATTCCTACATGCTGCCAGATGCCTGCTGACATGTACTCGCATGTGTCCACTGTTCTACCCCCTTTACCCGCCGACCCAGAGGCAGTAGCACGGTCTGGCACCGTGGAGGTTGCAAGAGGAGCTTCACTGCAGAGGAACGAGAGTCAAAGCTGAGCCATCTCTGAGCTCTTCTGGGACTCCCTCAGTCTCCTGGGGCAGAGGGCTAGCACCGACGAGAGAGGCATGTGTCAGCACGCGTCACACACGGCCTACGGCAGTGCCAAGCTTTAAACAGAGTGGTTAAGAGGCTGTGCCGTGCCACCAGCTGGGTAGCCCCTTTCTCCAGCTCCCCCGCAAGCCTGCGACCCTGAGATTGCAGGCGTTTGTTAGCCACACGTTGTTTGGCAAGCAAGGAGCTTGATTTCCTAGAGCTGGCCAG